TTCTATGTGTACCTTGCGTTACCTTGTTCCATAACCTACTGCACTTGCCTTTGAATTACGTTAACCCTGCTTCAGCTTTTAATGTATGGAACTGTTGCTGGCTTGATTATCCAAGTTTCAAATGACCGATAAACGTGTTTCGGCAGTCTTCTGCACAGAATATCATTATTCATTTTCATTGCCTGAGGTGACTCACTAATCGAGCCACCAAGTGAAGAGCAAGAAGAATCCACTACATTCAACCAGTTACAAGCAACACCGGACAACCTCGTACGTCAGTCAGTCAGGAACGCTTCTGCCCAGGAAAGGAAAGAGCTCGACATAATCAACGACAACGCACTATTCATGGAGGGACTAGAGTTCCAGGAAGCTCACGAAAGTGAGGACGAGGAAGAGGAACTCCAATTTGATGAAGAAGAATTATGCATCTTAGTCGATTGTAGTTATGACGAGGAAGAGCCGAGCGATGAAGAGGGACGGCACGAGGAGCAAGAGACGTGAAAGAGGTGAGCGGTGGAGAGGACCGTCATAAAGAAGATGCGAGACAAGAGAAAATAGCCGTGCAACAGGATCGCCACCGTCCACGGCACATCATAGAAGCAGACCTTCGAGAAGAGCGTAGGGCTGCAACTCAAATCGCAATTATTATAAAAGAGTTGGTGAGCCAACCACTATGCCCTGCCCGAAATTTCGACGGTGGAAGCCTCACCTGCGCGTTCTGCAGAGCCATTGGAGTACACACTCGGATGCGTGCATTCATATGAGTATTGCGCAGGAAAGGCGCAGACAGATAGAAAAATATGGAAAATGCGAACGCTGCCTGGAGTACTGTGCAAGAAATACTACCTGTCCAAAAGACTATGCAAAATGTCACTACTGTAAACGAGGAGACCACCACTCGGCGCTTTGTGAGTTGCCTGAACAAAACGAGGATGCAGCGACAGACTGGCGCGAGCAATAAACCAAGTGGTTCGTCATGCTAAACGTATGGGAGAATTATTCGAAGAACTGCATTATTACGAATAATTTCAAGCTATGGCGCCGAGTGTTGCAGGTAATGCGCTATTTTATACCATCACTCTTATTCATCGAATTCATGGCTCAAGACTATGGATCATATTAAATTCAACCAGCTTAATTTTAGTTTCTAGTCACAGTGAACACAAACATTATACAAATTCGCCCTTGCGGCTGGCCATGGAGTGGACAGTGCACACATGCGACCGTCTCTCCATAAAAGATGCATCAGAAGTTAGCAGCCGTCGTCATCCTCATACTCTCATGTTCTTATCTACACTATCTACATGTTGGCCTTGCATTTCCTTGTGCCATGAAGGATTGCTCTTGCTGTATGTTTATTAACCCTGCTTTACCATTTCATGTTATGGACTATTGTTTGATGCTTGGTTCAATTACAGAACTTCAAGGAATCCGATAAACATGTTAGGATGAACCTTCGTTTTATCCCTCCTCAATTATAAAGCAGTAACTTGGTGTGTCGGTTTGTGTATTTGCTGGGTTGTCTGACTCTCCGTAAAACTTCATGATTGGATTAAGGGTAGTGATATGGATAGCCCAGCTATATCCTACATTTCCATCTCTCTTATTATAAAGCAGAAACTTGGTGCATCGGTTTGTCGGTATGTCGGTATGTCTGTTTGTCGGTGTGTCCGTCCGCAAACTTTATGATTACGATAAAGGCAATGANGGGGGGGGGGACATTTCTAACTGATTAATAAATATAAGGAATGAGGGCCCGGCGTTAACCGGGCGGCCCAACTGGTTTTATATATAAAGCAGTGAGTTGGTGGGAAGGTTATCGGAGTGAAACGAATACTTCAACACTGTGACTTCGATCGATTGGTATATCTCTATATTGGCATTATCTGAACAATATCGGATAGGGAAATTGAAGCAATCTGTTCCTTTACTGGAGGATTGTGAATTTTTTAAGTGGGGAAAACGCTGTTCAAATAAAAAGGCATTAGGGCAAAAAGCGTCTTACTTTGGCAGCTTTTCCGCTTCCCTCCCTTTCGTTTTCAGCAATTTCAGCTGCATTTCCCAATCCGATGCCTTGGTAAGTTTCTCTTCGATGAGTTGTTCAAGATCCACCTGCGCAAGTACCAACCAATCCTGGAAGGTTTGAGAATTTCAAAGATAAGCCATAAATTCTGTCCTCTCTGGTCGTTTCCGAACCCATCAATTGAACCATACTCACCGCAAACTGCACGTCGACTCGTTCGACTGCTCTCATAAGTTGCTCGGCTTTTTCGTACACACTTGGAAAGCGATCAGCGTTTTTTCCTAACATTGCGGCGAAGAACTTTGACATCTGAAAGCACTGATGTGATGAATTATAAGCGAAAAGGAACAAATGAACAGTTAAAAATTCAAGTGCGAGAGGTCTCAAATTCCAGTTTTTTTTTTCTTGAAATTTAAGAGTGGGAAACAACTGAAGGAAGTGTTGAAGGAGGCTCCAGACGGAGAGGGATTTTCTCGAGATNTCTCAGATTTTTCTCATAGGATTATAAATCGGTGAAAAAAACCGAAAATGATAAAAGTAAGGTTAGTGAGCAGAAAAAAAGTTTAAAGAATAAAAAAACAGCAAATATAACAAACCAAGGGGAAGCCAAAGTATGAGAGGCATAAAAGGCATAAATAAGAAGTCGAAATAATAAAAAAATAAAACAAAATATAAAAAATTATTTTTCATCTTTTCCAAATTTTCAGTTTTCAAATTCCAAAGCTGAAAGGGATTGCAATAAGCAGTGAATAGAAATAAGCATTTCAAACAATGGCAAATCGAAAAGATAGTTTTCGTAAGCTGAGGTGGCATTGAGTTACACCCTGCATTCTAAGTATGAGCTGAGGAGAATTGTCAAGAAAGCCAAGACCCAACAAAATTGACTGATCCTAAGCTCGAGGCGTGTCCCCTTTTATCTATTCTACGAGGAAGTATTTTTGTTTCTTACACATGGTGCTACTTAGCTTTAGAAATATAACAATTTTAACAATTTTTCGATTTAAATTCAAACGCTCCACTTTTTCCCATCAAGAAAATCACCTGTTCGCCTTCCAGTACTCCTTTGAATTTTTCTGGTATACTCAAAAGTTTGCGCATTTCCTTGTAGTATTTGGCACGAATTTCCTCGATTGGCGGTCGAAGCTGCAGTTTTTGCTGGCTGAAACCTTTCGTTGATTGTTCTTGAAATTGCACAAAATTTTACTTTGTATTCTACTCCTGCTTGATGTGAGAAGGGAACAATCGTAAAATTCTTTGTGTCCAGTTTTTGTGTTCATCTAAATGCTACGGTTTCGAAATCCTAAATCATAGCAAAATTAAAGGAGCATCAATTACATAGCTCTGGAAACCCGATTCCATTCAAGACAGTAATCAGAAACAGCTTCAGACTTTTCAAAACATAGTAGCTCAGAATTTCAACCTCTTCCGTCACTATAGGTCACTAGGTTTTGTATTTACTGTGAAAAAACTTACACAAATACGAGTTGTGTATGGATCAACGGTATTTGGGTGTGCAGACTTTCTAGTCCCCATTGATACTGCAGTTGTAGAGCCTAGAAGAAATCCAACTCATAAACCTAGAAGATATAATGGATTGGGACGTATGGTGGGTATGGTACTAGCACGTGGCGCCACTACCATACCTATGAACAGAAAATGAAATTCTGGCCAATAGCCACCTAGAACCAAAAGGGCCATCCATACTGTCGGGGTCGCATAGACTCATTTGATAGGGGGATGGCATTTACGTGATCATTGGCTGATCCTACCATTCACTATGTACGGGATATACGCATTCAAGCATCACCTTGACATTGAATAGAAGTCAAATAATTGGGAAGTGGGGTCAGAAAAAAATATTGGCAAACAACGACGAATATTTCGGAACTTCATATCATTTCATGCGGAACAGAACTAAATGCCTCTCTAAATAACCGATCAGTGCGAGCACCAGATCAGTTATTTTTCCCTCATCGACCCCTTGCTCGATATTTTCTTTTTTCAGTCGAAATAATGCCAAAATCTCTCTCACTGAGCGGAAAATTGTAAGAAATTTCACCAACTTTGTATAACTGCCAGTTCCAATGAAGCTGCCAGGGTTGTAGGTTGGCTTTTGTTGCACCATGGACCAGTTCTTCTTCCGAAATCTACAAAAACAATGTCATTCACTTCTTTCAGAGTTTTCAGAATAAAACCATTCAATAGGCAACTGCTGACCTTGGATCTGATTCTAGAGAGTATTTCCTTCCATTTGTTAACCTCTTTGAGTACGTCAAGATTAACAAGTTCAAGAACCATTTGAACAATTTCAGTATGCACATTTCGAAGACGCCTAAATGTGCAGGTTATTCAAAAGGGTTCAATCAAAAGGTAAATCAATATTGTTTCATATGCCTTCTAATTTAAATTGTTTTTATTTTTTTTATTTCATTTTGGTTTTCTCCTCACGCTTAACCTATCTCTTCGTACATAGGGTTATACCACTTCTTAGCTATCGTCAATGAGTGATAACGCCAAAGGTCGTGTGAGTATTAGCAATTTACTCCCATTAGAATTCCGCAACCCTCCTCGTTTTTCTGACTTATTTTCGTCTTACGGCATGGTCTTGCATCAAGTCCTTTAAACTTTACTTCATCCATTTCATTATGTTTCTGTTGAATTACTGGAAGAAGTAGAGGTAGATTGACCCGAAACTTATCTGGTTTGGTAAGTGATTCTACTTACTATGAAGAAATATGAGAAAGTCAAAAAGTCGGGAACCTGTTATGATTCGCCAGTTTATCGGAGGCTGCTTGTAGTTTTGCAATAAAATCTTCTAACTGTTTCGGATCTTCCCATGTGACTCGCGTGATCGCAGATTCCTCGTTCTTTTTTGGGATAACGAGCCGCTCAAATGCTATCGCTTCATCTAGCATCAAAGCCTGAATGGAAATCCTTTCTGGAGTACTTCAAGACATGTACAATAGAGAAGAAACTGTTATACTTTGATGGCTCTGCTTTTTGGAAGACAGCGGAGACAACTGAGCTCTCAGGGAGGGCAATTGCTAGTAAGCCCTTCCATGAGCATCAAAGCATTAACCTGCTAACAGGCAGCCCGGAATGTCGTTTTATACATAGCTCACATACGTATTCAATGATTCTATGGATTCTGATTGTATGAATTCGAATGGAAGTCGGTGTCGTGGACGTTCATCAAACCGAAAACTTGAAACCCTTCTTCAAAATCTCAGAACTTCTAGGACGACATCCAACTTTCCGGAGTGTTCTTCTAATACGCTTCAGATGGATGATGAGATTTCGGGTCAATTAGTAGGATCAGTGATTTTTATCACTAAAAAGACTAGTACAAATTAAACGTTTTGGAGCAATGGACGGATTGGCTGGATTAATTGGAACTAGATCAAACGCTTGCTGTAACGGTAGTATTTTCCCCAGCAATCTTCATATCGCAAAAACAGCCGCAAAAAAGATTCCCCTATGGAGATTAAAGCCTATTTTCTTCGAAGAGTCTATGAGCTTCGAAAACCCAATCCAAATCTCAAATCGTATCGAACCGTAAGGAACGTGAAAGAGAGTTCACCTCGGCCATGCTACAAAATGCTAGTACTCAATTCACCGTACCTGCTGACATGGTAGCATCTGCTGATCGATAGTATTGTAAAAGTGGGCGATCTGTTTGAGAACGACTCCGTATCTGTAGAATTTTTCACCCTGATTTACACAGTTGATGATTTTCGATGGAATATTCAGCCCTAGACTTGCAAGTTGACGGACCTGAACAAACTGACAGCTCACCATTTCTGAATAGAAAATTCCAAAAAGAACATGGTACCTCTTTGAGGAGTCTAAGCAGCCGATCACTGTAGTTCACGTTCAGGGTGCCACGCTTTTGTTCCAGTACCATAATTTTTCCCTTTGTTTCCAGAGCTATTGAATCCGTCGGGTCGTCTATGGCCTGAATCGTTTCGCGACACCTAAAATGTAGCATTATCGCTTAATGAGATTTGATCATCTTTTTTTGTGAGTGGGATTCTCGCTATTCATTTTTGTTCAAAAGAAAGAGAAACTGTATCAAAGGAACGCATGGATCCGATTTTCAAGCGAAAAAAAAAATAATAAAAAGAATCGCTAAAACGGAACTGGCACCAATTATGAGTTTAATCTGACCAAAACTGAAAAATCATTCGAAAAGGAAAGCTAGATGCACAACAAAAGCCATGCCTTCGATAAAATTCGGTACTGGTTGTTAGGTATTTATAGAGCGGGCGTGATATTCAAGTCATCGAGGTGAACGTTTATACTTCAGTTTATTTTGTATTTCCATGACATCCCTTATCACTTGATTGGCTCTTTTTCTCATCCGCATTCGGTTGTGTTACTCCAGTCTGTGTTAAAGGCTTTAATTGACCCTAGTTTCACAATAAATACCTGCAATGCACAAGAATTTTTTGAGGCAATACTTTACTTTCTACTCTCTTCGTTCTTTTTTGGAATGACGAGCCGTTCAAATGCTATCGCTCGTATGTATATTTTCAACAAGCTGTTCTGAGGAGGTAGCCTGTTAAAAATATACGTACGAGAGTTGGAAGCGTTGTTCCCACAAATATATATCAAATGTAAAGAAATAATCAATTGAGCAAGACACTTACGGAGAAGGAGCCGTTACGGTGCATCATGATGTGGACCTGTGTCCCAATGGATAAGTCGTCGGACTTCGGATGCGAAGAATGCAGGTTCGAATCCTGCCAGGGTCGAAAGTTTTTCCATCGTTTAAGCTACATGTTACCCAAGTAGGATTGAGTCCTAACAAAAACCCCGTGGGAGTAGCTAAACGTGTCCTTGTGGCCTAATGAATAAGGTGTCGGAATTCGGGTCCGAAGATGGCAAGTTGGAATCGTGCCAGGGACGGGACATTCTGCATCACTTCAGCTACATGCTGCATCACTTTGCCTACATAACTCAAGTAGGCTTGAGACTTTATAAAAAACGCGTAGGAGTAGCTTAGTGTGGCCCTGTGGCCAAGTGGATAAGGCGTCGGACTTCGGATCCGAAGATTGCAGGTTCGAGTCCTGCCAGGGTCGGAATTTTTGCCTTCCTGCAATACTACTGTGCAAGTCCACGAAACCAGTGAGTTTCCATATTTCATTACGAACTTGATAATTATCAGTCTAGTTGTAGTCTTGGAATTAACAATGTCATGTCACTTTGAGGAGAGGACGAGTTTCATCCCAACAATCTCGAAATGAAGGATTTCGTAGTATAGAGCAATATTAGGATTGCTTGTCTGCATGAATTGTACCCCTCAGGAAGATTCTTTTCTGAGATTTTTACCCTATAAATGTGCAGTTATACTAATCATTGTAATACCCACATCTTTCTCAACTGTGAAGGGTGTGATAAGTGTTTGGGCGGAGTTATCTGCTCATGGAAGTTGACAGTTGTATTTATTCCACTAGCGATTCCTTCCTCATTTGGGACGACTGCTAATTAAACAATTGGGCTTCTGTCCTTTCTTTGGTGATAAGCTCGTTGAACTTCGGCGGGAATGGAACTGATGAGATGATTCGATATCAGGTGAACTCCATGGTTAAGGTGATTCAGGCTACACCCAATGTTCATGGTTGAAGAGGTGGAGTGAAGGCGTAGCAACGTAGATATCACGAGGTACCTTCCCTACAATAATCTTGCAAATATGCATCCTAAACATCCTGTTTACATTCCCATCCGCAGCTCTCTCATGGCTGCTAGGGAGATGAAAGGAGTGCTAAAAGAAGATGCTCTATTAAAACATGCCCTTACCACTGATCATAATTCTCCTGTTCGGCTTGTTTGAGCTTTTCCATGAATGACATCATACGGGAACTCAAAATAGAGTAGGAACTGAGATCATCCAAAAGCGCTGAGCACAACGATTGCATTTTCTCCAGCTAAACAAAGCTGGCAGTCCGGATCGATTTCACTTCAGAAAAAAACGAAAACAAAGTCGATGATTTACCTTATTACTCTGTTGCCTGATCCAAACCACTTTGGCGGCAATTTCGGTCAGAAAACGACCCTGCTCACTGTAGGAAGCCATACGACTGTCAATTTCTCGTTCTTTGTCAGCGATTTTACTTGACAACTGAGCCAGCAGCACTTCCCTGCAGGAATGAACAGGATTAAAGTTGTACTCGAAAAAAAATCAACAAATCAATAATCAATCAATGGAACTCCTGAATACAGAACATTTCAATCAAAATAGCAGTATTGAGAATTTTGGTTCTGGCAAAGTAAGAGCAAGGGTAGCTACTGAGGTGAGAGTTTTATAAATGTTTATTAGAAAAAGCCGGCGACCACCCTAATAATACGAAATCACAGTTCAGAAATTTTTTTTTGGATAGGAATCAATCGGCAGTGGGCATAACTTTTGGAAATCACGATTGTTTGCTGATCCACCAACACATGGAGCTCCTTTTTTCAATGGAGGGTTTCACGTGACAGCAACTGACGGCCTTTTGATGTCATACAAAGCCGAGGTAAAATCAGTTGCAAAAGCATCGTCTAGACAGGGGGAGAAAGGGGTCTGCAAACGAAAAGGTCCGAAAAAAACGAAAACGAAAAGCCTCGAAAATATCAGCTGGTATGTTGATCAGATCAGCAAGGATGGGAATTATCGCTGGGAAGCGGCCAAAAAATTTTCAACCTGACGACTTCCGTATCATCGAAGCACGGCCACATTGCCGGTGACATACAACTCCCATACTTTTTTA